TCTAACTCTCTATCTCTCTCCCTTCCTCTCTGTAAAAAATCAATAAAATATATTTAAAAATAAAAAAAATAAAATAAAATTTTAGTCTAGAACCAATTGAGGAGAAAATGATCTGACCATAATCTAAATGTGGAAATTAAAGGTAGAACTAAAGAAAGTGGTAAACACACACACACACACACACACACACACACCACAATGTAGTTTCGAAAAAATGGAAAATACATTTTAAATCAGTTAGATTTCACTTATAGTGCAGTCTTCAGCATATTATTGGGTTTGGGGGTTTAAGGTTTTTTGTGGGGTTTTTATTGGTACATTTAAGTCATTCCTGATACATGATGTAAATTTCCCCAACAATCAATCAAGTATTTACTGTGGGAAATAGAAGAGGCTGTCAGATAGCCATTTTACTAAATTATTATTATTATTATTATTATTTTGAAATATATTTTATTGATTTTTTACAGAGAAGAAGAAAGAGGGACAGAGAGTTAGAAACATCGATGAGAGAGATCGATCAGCTGCCTCCTGCACGCCCCTACTGGGGATGAGCCTACAACCAAGGTACATGCCCTTGACCGGAATCGAACCTGGGACCTTTCAGTTCACAGGCCGACGCTCTATCCACTGAGCCAAACCGGTTCGGCCATTTTACTAAATTATAATCTAATTATAGACTCCAAATAGACCATTTAGAGAACAAGAAAAAAGATCTGAAGAGGGGTGATGTGGATAACCTATCAGAATTCAGAGAAAAAGGAATCTATATCATAAATTAGTGAGGTTTTGAATCAAATCCGGATTAAGTGAGGTAGGCTGGAAGGTGAGAGCAATATTCCAGATTGGGAGGATCAGCATGGACAAACCCAGATATAACTTATAATGGATACTTGTGGAGAACATTAAGGCCACAGGCCAAAGTTCGTGTCAGAGAGCAAAAGAAAATAAGGTTGGGGAGATCCTACTCATCATTCAAGGCCCAACTCTTGAATGAAATCTTTTCTTTTTTTAATATATATTTTATTGATTTTTTACAGAGAGGAAGGGAGATAGTTAGAAACATCGATGAGAGAGAAACATCGATCAACTGCCTCCTGCACACCCCCTACTGGGGATGTGCCCACAACCAAGGTACATGCCCTTGACTGGAATTGAACCTGGGACCCTTGAGTGCGCAGGCTGATGCTCTATCCACTCAGCCAAACCGGTTAGGGCCTGAATGAAATCTTGATTAGCACTTCCCCTGACTCCTAAACCTAATAATCAGAAGAGATTGTAAGAATGTTTAGACACAGTACCAAAGATAATTAGTATCGGCTGCTCAGAGTTGTTCTATGAACTCAAGACTACATGTTAGGTTCTTCAGCAACAAGTTTCATGTTCAATTATTAATGCCCTTTATGAGCATGGGTTACTGCATTGGCAAGTGATATATTTGTTATTCCTGGCAAATAACATTTATCCAATGCATGGTTCCTATTATTCTGGTATTCCTAAAATTTTGTTGCTCTTAGAAAGATTTTAATCTCATTTTGGTGTTTGTTTTCTTTAGAGATACAGTATTCCAACTAAAATGACTAAAAGCATAATCATATATTCCTTGCTAATGCTACACTATAAATGTACTTGCC